GATTTTAATAATTTACGGTATTCTTCGGCATGTCAGTACTTCAAACTTTTAATTTCGTGCTGTTTCAGATTAAATTTAATTACGTCTCGAAAAACTAATTACACGAATTTTCATTATAAATTCAAAACGAAATTATCATATTCTTCACTAAGTTAGACACAATTCGTTTCGTTTTAATAATTTCCCCCACCCCCGGTGAGTCAGCGAGAAATTTATGAACTTATTTACAACACTGAGATACGGGGTTCGATTTCCCGCAGTGTACAGAGCGCAGACAGCCCAATGTGTGGCTTTGCGCTAAAACAAACATACAAACGTTTACGTAAAGATGTGAAGAAATAGGAAACTCAAACGTTACAAAAAAAAAAGAGTAAAGCTTTCATTTAAAGAAGGCTAAAAACAAAAACGGGCACAAAGTATTCAGGAAGAGAACAAGAGACGAAAAGGAAATTAGAAACAGAGAAAGGATGAGGAGAAAGAACGAAAAACAAACACCAGAAATTGAAGGACTTTTGTGTGCTACAGTCCAAACCACTGAGAAGAAGAAAAAAAGAGGGAAGAAGAGGAGGAAGAAACTATCAAATCCCAAACAAACATTTCTTCTTATATATATATAAATCATGGGACTCGGTAGGGAGTGTCGTATTCTAGATGGTAAACCTGCATGTTAAATATAAATGTTAAAAAAAAGAGCACAGAATGTATAATAACTCTTCAACCTTGGATAATGTTTTAAAGCTACCTTTTCAGACAAGACGACGGCTTGAAAAAACAAACAGACAGGTAAAACTGAGGTACAAACCTGCAGTGTTGTGACAGAGGATAAAATAAACGAGAATACCTAATCGTCCAGTGAATGTAAGCGTTTACTCGACCTTCTGGAAGTTTCATCTGTCCCATTAGTTTCTGAGTGAGATTTGTGTATTAAAAATTATTTGTTTTTATTCGTTATTTTCTAACAAAACTATTTAGAGTTTTACTAACTGTAAGATCTCAGAATTTCGAAAGGAAAAAAAAACTGAACTGATTTCTAGTTGACATTAACATTTATATTATTTTATACATTTTACGACATAACGCTCCTTTTTTTTTACCTAAAAGTAAAGTATCGTAAATTTGATTATGTCAAAAATTCGGTATCTAAATCTCTCTCTCGCCCCCTCCCCCCACTTCCTCCCCGCTCCTCATGAAAAATGGCAAGCTCTTGATTATACAGCTATTAATTTCCTTGAAAAGGGGCCGAAGGCCGCCTGGAGGGGTCACCTGTTTTAA